TATCAGGTTTAATTCCGAATGCTCTATTTAAGTCATTTAGCGCATCTACTCGAAGGTTTAATTTATCATTAACAATTCCTCTAAGATAAAATCCACGTTCATCGTCTGATTTTCTATTGACATAAATATCAAGGTCTTCTTTTGCCTTTTCATACTCATTTAAATATAAATATGCTTCTCCACGATCACATCTCATAGAGACACTATCTGGATTGCCTTCAATAAGTCCATTATAATATTCGACTGCCTCTGCATATTGCCCCGCTTTGAGTGCTTTAGCAGCCTTTTTTTTAGCAGGGTTAAAAACTTTTTTCGATAAATAGTTCATGTATTTGCGTCTAAAATAGAATGATCAAAGAATAATTCACAGTTTATCCCTATTCCAATAATAATCATTTGTGTGATATTTCATATGTTAGTAATCTTTTATAGATTAAGAAGGCATGTATTAATAAATTTCACATAAAGCTTTACCTTCTGATTATATGTATACGTTTATGTAATTAATACGGAACAAAAAAATTTCTATACAATAATTTATATAATTTATCATTTTTATCGACGCAATGAAGACTCCGACTTTATTCATTTGTAACATCGCACCAAATGATTCTTGTTTATCATAGTCTTTTTTAATTATTGTAATAGGGTACTACATATGCTCTTTTATGCAATGCGTAAATATTTTTCGACGTCTACGTAACACTCAAAAAAAAAAATCATAGCATTTATATTTTATTTGTAAGTTAATTCGGAAAATATTTTGGCTTTAATGCTAAAGTGTATAAAAAATTTATTTTCTACACAATATTTTCATTAATACGTATGAGTTTTCGGCGTGTTGATATTAAATCTGAAGGCATATGCCGTTTAAGTATAACTGATAACATGTATGTACGTACGTACGTATGAATTATTTTGTGGAATGTGCATTCTTTAAATGCCCATAAAAGTATAACTGTTTTGTTATGGAGTTTTGATTGGGTGAAGTTCCGATATGCAAAATCAAAAAAAAAAACTACGTAGTAAGAAGAGTTCTGAAGAAAATTAGGATACTGTAAACTACAGTTAATAAAACCTCAAGTGCAACGTATTAGTAAAATTATCATTACGGCGCGCTTACAGTGTAAATTGTGTGAAAATCTAACGCTAAGCATTAATTGGACGGTGTTTGTGATTTGCAATAAGTATACATTATTGGACAGACGACAAAAAATAAGTCAATTTTTTTTTTTGTCTGAATTAATGTCACTCCATGTGCTGCGTAGCAGCGCATGAGTGAAATTAACTCCGATGAAAAAAAAAAATTGACTGTTATTTGTCGTACGTATGTTCAATATGACCATGTGAAGTTTTTTCTGTGATATTTTGCAAAACTGATTACGTAATTTCATGTAAAAAATATCATGGCA